GCCGTGTCTCAGGTGGGGTGGGCTTGTTTCCGTGGGACAGGCAGAGTAGAAAGAGGCTCAGGAGTTGTTATTCGGTTCACTAGGAAAACAGGTAGGCGGCACTGAGCCCACGGGAGAGGCTACAGCATCTAATGGTGTTACAGCTGGAAGACAAGTCAGAGACCCCACAACCCCACACTCACACGGGGGGAAAAGTCACAGGCCCTCGCCGGGCAATGGCACAGATGGGCTGCAGATCTAAAGGTTCACCCCAGGCTGCTCACCCCAGGCCCACTCACCCCAGCCCGCTCACCCCAGGCCCACTCACCCAGCCCGCTCACCCCAGGCCCACTCACCCCAGCCCGCTCACCCCAGGCCCACTCACCCCAGCCCACTCACCCCAGGTCCACTGACCCCAGGTCGCTCACCCCAGGCTGCTCACCCCAGGCCGCTCATCCCAGGCCCACTGACCCCAGGCCGCTCGCCCCAGGCCCACTGACCCCAGGCCACTCACCCCAGGCCCAGTGACCCCAGGCCGCTCGCCCCAGGCCCACTGATCCCAGGCCCACTGACCCCAGGCTGCTCACCCCAGGCCCGTTCACCCCAGGCTGCTCCCCCCAGGCTTCTCACCCCAGGCCCACTCACCCAAGGCCCACTCACCCCAGGTCCACTCACCCCAGGCCGCTCACCCCAGGCCGCTTGCCCCAGGTCCACTCACCCCAGGTCCACTCATCCCAGGCCGCTCACTCCAGGCCCACTCACCCCAGGCCGCTCACCCCAGGCCCACTCACCCCAGGCTGCTCACCTGAGCCCGCTCACCCCAGGTCCACTGACCCCAGGCCACTCACCCCAGGTCTGCTCACCCCAGGCCCACTGACCCCAGGCCGCTCACCCCAGGCCCAGTGTTTCTTCCACAACCTCTGCGTGCTGACCACAAGAACAAACCGAGAGGGAGAGGAGAGGGCATGTCACAGGAGAAGGGGCTTTATTCTCTGCAGAGTGACGGCTCCCCATGAAGCACAATTTATTTACATTTATCATCTGGGAAAGACAAGAAGATTCGGATGATGATGTGCTTACATTCCAAGCCATGGAACGACTTCCAAATCAGGGTGTGGCCACGAACAGCAGGGAGGCAGCTCTGGGGTCGCTGCCCGGCTGTAAGGAGGCCCGCTCCCCACTCCCCCGCGAGCAGCAGCCCTCCTGTCTGCAAAGGTCCCACTTTAAGGGTGGCTGTGGGAAGTACACGAGGCGATGCCTGCAAGCCCTCCAGGTGGCCCGTTGACAGGCTGGGCCCACAGTCCCTGTCCTCGCTCAGTCTGAAGGGACAGTGGGGCTGGCGCTGTCCTGGGTGCTGAAGCTACAGCCTGTAGTCGGCCGAGGCTGCTGCCAAGGCATCTCAGTCTGCAGAGGAGGACGCAGGGCTGAATGCAGACAGCAGGTGTCAGGAGGGGAAAGCCGCTATCAGGCAAGCACGTGTGGGCTGGCAGAGGGCAGGGTGGGCTGCAGTGGTGACGTCTGAGAGAGACACTAAGCAGGGGCTCCGGGAAGAGTCGATACGGAGCTAAGAAGCTGCTGCCCATTAACGCCCCAGGAGCTACATGTGCAGGTGAGGAGGCGACCCCTCCAGGCTCACTAGGGCCCGCATCCCACAGAGAATTACCAAGAAAACCTGGTGGAGAAGGGACCCGAGGAGCGCATCACACCACCCCCTTTCTATAGCATGTATCCCCTCAAATTCAGCAGGTACCACATTTCCACAGAGCCTGCTGGGGAGCCATCATGGTGACCCTGAAATGCTACTTCTGTTTCAGGAATAAGAAGTGATCTAAAGGAGTGGGGGCCTTTCCAGTGCCGCGCCAGCCACCTCAAGGCAGGTGAGCACAAGAGGTGCGACAGGGCTTTCCCTGCAGCACCCGCCAGGGGTGGAGCCATGGAGCGAACCTGATCGGTGCTGAGCCCGAGAGCCATCACAGGCTCCCGGATTCTTCTCCCTCCACTGTCACTGTTCCATGATGGAGCTAAGGATGGAGAGCACTGGACCACGTGCACTGCCCAGCCCTGTGTGCCAGAGGGCTCTTACGGAGACACAGGACCTCCACACGAGGACCCCAGGCTGCTGTGGAATGAACAGAAGCTGGTGGCCCCAGTCCTCTGCCTGGAGGCTGCAGTCCCTCTGGCGCACGGGGAGTCATGCAGCACCGAGGTCCCCTGTGGCCAGTGGCCAGGCCCCTCTTCAGGACACGTCTGGGAGCCTCCCTCCTAGAGCTGCTCTCAGCGCCAACTTATAAGCCAAACAGCAATGCAAGCAATAAACAAAAATCACTGGTTGCCTGGTGGTGGGCCCCGAACAGCATCCCGCACCTCCACATAGTCACCAGACTCACATTTCTGAGACTCAGATTCCCTGTCTACTAACAAAACCAACATCACTGAAGATACTTAGAAGAAAGAAGACACATAACAAGGCCAAATGGGGTGAGGGTGCAGAGAAGGGTCCTGGTACAGCGCTGGTGGCACCTCCAACGTGCAGCCGCTCTGGAGAGGAAAGGCGGTTTCTCCAGAACAAACGTCACATACCAGACGACCCAGCAGCTGCACTCCAGGGTGTTTGATCGGAGAAACAACCTGTGTGCATGTGAGAACCTGCGCATGAATGTTCAGAGCAGCTCTATTTTTAACAGCCAAAAGCGGGGAAACTCTACTGTCCCTGGGGGCCTGGTTACACAAGCACAGGCCATCCTGCTGCAGAGCGCCACTCAGAATGAAAAGGGAGGCGCCTCGACCCACACACAGGGGTGAGCCCGGGGAACTATGACTTGTGCAAAAAGCCACCATCCCAGGCTCCACAGCATGCGAGTCCATGTACAGAACATTCTTGCAAGAGCAGGTTCCGAGGACGGAGCAAGACCAGGGCCAGAGCCCAAGGGCATGCACGGGGGAAGCAGGCTGTGGCTCTAACAAGGCAGCATGAGAGACCCTGACTGTACTGTGACCACAGTGGCAGCTACACAGACACGTGATGAATGCGTGGAACCCATCACGTACACATGTGTGAAGGGACACGAAATGCTGAGTAAGTCGCCATTGGGCTGCATCAATGCCAAGTCCCGGGTGGTGACTGAAGAGTGCTTACGCGATACTGGGCGGAGACCAGGTGAAGGGCAGAGTCTCTCTACACTGTTCCTGCAACTGCCTGTGGGTCTACAGTTGCCTCAGTGCAAAGGTCAAAACACATACACAACAGTGTAAAGGACAAAAAGTGCAAGACACACCTGGAACAGGGGCAGTGAATTCAGAACAATGGCGTTCCAAGACAAGTCCGAGGCTGCGCATGGACGCCAGGTGCCCCCTCACAAGCTCCCTCGCATGGGTGTGCGACCACAGGTGTACATCACCTCCCTACAACACACACGCAGGCAGGCCCCTGCTCTCCCAGTGGGGCTTTGGTGGAGGACTGAGCCTGATTGGGGTTGGGGCTGGGGAAGCAGGCCGAGGGCACCTCCTTAGCACCCCCAAGGGGCAACTAGGAGCCTCGCCCAAGCTCACCCATCCCAGCCCCTGCCTTAGACACTGACGCTGTCTGTATGCATCAGCTCGCTGGAGTGACAGCTGGCCTGTGTTGCGCTCACCCACCTGCTCCCCAGCACATGTGCACAATCTCATGCCCGCACACATGGGCATATGTGCACATGGGTGCTGGGGCTAGCGCCCCATCTTGTGCAGACTCAGTGGGCACTCAGGCAGCCAGGTGACAAGGCCAGGGCAGCTCCCCAGGGACTCTGCAGAATGGGTCAGTGTCTCTGTGAGAATAGCACAGCCCTGACCAGGGGGCAGCCTGACAATCAGAGAACATGCCACCGCAGGCTGAAACAGGGCCTGCCAGGCTGCACCCCCTACTCTCTCAAGACCCCAGCTGCCAATGAAACTGCGATCGGCCCAGCTCCAAATGTCACCTCCTAAGCGAATCCCTCTTCAATTCTGCCAGTAAAAATTAATTACTCTTTCCTCAGGGGTCCCCGGCACACACTTCATAATGATTCCTGTGTCACAGCCTGTCCTGTGTCACAGTTAGATGTTTACACCACAGGCCTTGCCGGAGACATTATGATTCCTTGGGACTGGGTCCCCAGATGCATCACCTTGGTGTCCCTGGAGCCTGGCAGGTGCGTGCAGCAGGTGCTTAATACAGATCTGTTGGATGAAACGTGTCTAATTGGCGAGTGGACTATACAGAGGCCCTGGTGCCCTTTCTTACGTGCACCTGCACATACACAGGGAAGTGTTACTGGACAAAGACAGACAATGACTGCCTTGTAACCAACACCCTGCACCCAGTCTTTGCTGGAAAGTGTGGCCTCCAAATTTGCTGAGGCTTCAACAACTTCAGAGCAGAGCTGTGAGTGCCTGAGGAGAGTCCCTGGGATTTCAGGTGGGCATAGAGAACTTCCCTCACAACACGTGGCAGCACAGGGCCAAGGAGCCCCAACGAGCAGTGGTGGCATGCTGACGTTCCCCGATACTGCCCAAGCCATCAGGGGAAGTGACCACAGGATACAGGCGAGGAGGGCTTGGTGCACGGCATCACGTGCACACAGCCATCCATGTTTAGTGCACAGAAGAAGTAAGCCTTTAACCTGAAATAACAAAGTAATTTTTGCGTTGGACTGCAGAGTAACAGAGTATTCGTGGGGTTAAAAGGCAATGTGACACTGAAGTGCTGTGCAGTGCCTGACTGCTACCATCCTGGCAGGTACCCGGCAACACTGGGCTCGGGGGAAAAGGAAAAGGGGACATAGGCTCTTTCATAATATATGCAATAGGGCTTCCATAAATGGGTCCAATCTAGAAAACAACTGGGACTTAAAAACAAAAAAGAAAGAAAGAAATTTATAGCACCTTTTTAAAAGAAAAGAGAGGTTTCAAGTGTGCACTGAAGCTTCTGCCATGTGCATCTGTGCAACCCTGCACTGTCTGACCTTGAGGCTTGTTCTGGGCGTATGAAATATGCAGAACCCTACCAGGCCATGCTGCCGCGGGCTGTGTTGTCAAGGTGACAGAGCAGCTCCAGGGTGTGCGCGGTGCTCGACGAATCGTCAGGGGACTCGTGACTGCCTGGTTCCAATTCCTTCGGCATCCTCCACACGGCCGCGCATGTCAGGACTTTGCTGTCTGAAGCGAAGCGACAGAGGGTAACGTCAACACAGCACGGCAGGCGGGCACATTCCACAGACAGTGCACGAACGCCCCGCAGGCCCGGAGCAGGGCACATCTGCTCTTTAAAATATTTAAAACTGCAGAGCGCGAGCAGAGAGAGGACACGGCCAGAGCGGGCAAGCAGAGCAGGCGGGCGGGCAGCTCCCGCTTAACCCACTGCTTCCTACTTTAAAACCACTATTCTGTTTCAGAGGCAATTTAATTTTTCTCAAAATCAATTTCCTTCCGTTCTTCTTCAACAGCTCTTCCGAAAAGGGAGCAAAATGGGGGAGGGGTGCTGACGGTGTGCTCAGCATGCACAGCCCGGGTCTAAGGTCGGCACATCACCCACCTGCTCCCCAGCACATGTGCACAATCTCATGCCCGCACACATGGGCATATGTGCACATGGGTGCTGGGGCTAGCGCCCCATCTTGTGCAGACTCAGTGGGCACTCAGGCAGCCAGGTGACAAGGCCAGGGCAGCTCCCCAGGGACTCTGCAGAATGGGTCAGTGTCTCTGTGAGAATAGCACAGCCCTGACCAGGGGGCAGCCTGACAATCAGAGAACATGCCACCGCAGGCTGAAACAGGGCCTGCCAGGCTGCACCCCCTACTCTCTCAAGACCCCAGCTGCCAATGAAACTGCGATCGGCCCAGCTCCAAATGTCACCTCCTAAGCGAATCCCTCTTCAATTCTGCCAGTAAAAATTAATTACTCTTTCCTCAGGGGTCCCCGGCACACACTTCATAATGATTCCTGTGTCACAGCCTGTCCTGTGTCACAGTTAGATGTTTACACCACAGGCCTTGCCGGAGACATTATGATTCCTTGGGACTGGGTCCCCAGATGCATCACCTTGGTGTCCCTGGAGCCTGGCAGGTGCGTGCAGCAGGTGCTTAATACAGATCTGTTGGATGAAACGTGTCTAATTGGCGAGTGGACTATACAGAGGCCCTGGTGCCCTTTCTTACGTGCACCTGCACATACACAGGGAAGTGTTACTGGACAAAGACAGACAATGACTGCCTTGTAACCAACACCCTGCACCCAGTCTTTGCTGGAAAGTGTGGCCTCCAAATTTGCTGAGGCTTCAACAACTTCAGAGCAGAGCTGTGAGTGCCTGAGGAGAGTCCCTGGGATTTCAGGTGGGCATAGAGAACTTCCCTCACAACACGTGGCAGCACAGGGCCAAGGAGCCCCAACGAGCAGTGGTGGCATGCTGACGTTCCCCGATACTGCCCAAGCCATCAGGGGAAGTGACCACAGGATACAGGCGAGGAGGGCTTGGTGCACGGCATCACGTGCACACAGCCATCCATGTTTAGTGCACAGAAGAAGTAAGCCTTTAACCTGAAATAACAAAGTAATTTTTGCGTTGGACTGCAGAGTAACAGAGTATTCATGGGGTTAAAAGGCAATGTGACACTGAAGTGCTGTGCAGTGCCTGACTGCTACCATCCTGGCAGGTACCCGGCAACACTGGGCTCGGGGGAAAAGGAAAAGGGGACATAGGCTCTTTCATAATATATGCAATAGGGCTTCCATAAATGGGTCCAATCTAGAAAACAACTGGGACTTAAAAACAAAAAAGAAAGAAAGAAATTTATAGCACCTTTTTAAAAGAAAAGAGAGGTTTCAAGTGTGCACTGAAGCTTCTGCCATGTGCATCTGTGCAACCCTGCACTGTCTGACCTTGAGGCTTGTTCTGGGCGTATGAAATATGCAGAACCCTACCAGGCCATGCTGCCGCGGGCTGTGTTGTCAAGGTGACAGAGCAGCTCCAGGGTGTGCGCGGTGCTCGACGAATCGTCAGGGGACTCGTGACTGCCTGGTTCCAATTCCTTCGGCATCCTCCACACGGCCGCGCATGTCAGGACTTTGCTGTCTGAAGCGAAGCGACAGAGGGTAACGTCAACACAGCACGGCAGGCGGGCACATTCCACAGACAGTGCACGAACGCCCCGCAGGCCCGGAGCAGGGCACATCTGCTCTTTAAAATATTTAAAACTGCAGAGCGCGAGCAGAGAGAGGACACGGCCAGAGCGGGCAAGCAGAGCAGGCGGGCGGGCAGCTCCCGCTTAACCCACTGCTTCCTACTTTAAAACCACTATTCTGTTTCAGAGGCAATTTAATTTTTCTCAAAATCAATTTCCTTCCGTTCTTCTTCAACAGCTCTTCCGAAAAGGGAGCAAAATGGGGGAGGGGTGCTGACGGTGTGCTCAGCATGCACAGCCCGGGTCTAAGGTCGGCACAACATGCATCCTTCTCAGGCTTTAGGGGAGCATCTCACAGGGGCAGTGCACCCCGAGAGGCACTCTGCACACTGAGCTGTTGATGCTCCAGTGCTGAGTGAGTGGGAACCAGGGGTGCGAAGTCCGCGGCCCACAGGTGCTCTCTGTTGCACCCTGGCTCACCGGCACAACAGCCCAGTCCTGAAGGTGACGCCTTCCACTGTACCACCAGCCACACGCACACGACCTGTACACACAGTGGCACCATTCGTGCTCCTGCAGCTGGTCGCTCAGGTCCCGCCTTTCAGAGTCCTGACGCTCTTGACTTTTAATCTGTGCATTCTTAAAGAACTTTGAAAAGCCACATTGTGGATAAAGTTAGGTAAGAAAGACTAGGGTCACTTGTTTTCAGGGAACATGCCAGGCTCTAGGTCTCTATCACTCTAGACAATTTTTCAATAAGACAAAATGACAAGTAAGAACCACCCCTCAAAAAAATCAGACAATATTATGTGCTAAACATTTAATCACAAATCACTAAATATGAATCCTTTCAGAATTTGCTTTCTACTTAATTCTGAACTGTGTATGTGTAAACACCTTTCCCCTTTAAAGAAGGCCTTTAAAACATGATGATAAAACAGTGGACAGGTCTCAACATTAAGTCATGACTTGGCAGCAAGCGGAGAACACAAAAGAACCGGAGAACAGGACAGAGCACCTCGTGGGTGGCATTTCCTGCACGCAAAGTAAGAAAAAAATAAAGGACCTTATGCTACATGCCCTTTGTCCTATTGGCTCCAGTGCCCTTCAATCTAATTATCCACTCATCTACCAAGAAATACAGCAGTGAACACAAGGGGCACACCGCCCAGCTTCGCGGGCACCGTCGGGATTACCATTCTCGCCACGACCCTGTAGAAAGTAGGAGGGTCAGGGTTCCAGCGAAAGCCACCTGGACCCAGTCCCTGCTCACTTCATGTACCTCACTGGGCCTTAAAGAAAAAGAATCAAATGTGTCATACACATACACTTCTGTTAACATTTCCATTTCAACTGCAAATGCAGTGCACAGTGGTTTCCATCCACATGAGAAATTAATTTTCCTGCTGAAGTTCTCAGTCCCACAGTTGTGCAGCGCCTACGGACTGGCAATGGCCCCCTGCAGGTGAGAATCACCACCTGAGGTGAGGGGCGGCTGGGACAGGAAAGAGGAAATGCGTGCCCGCAACACTCCCCTAAGAGAGGCACAGATTTTATTAATCTTCCTAAATGACAACAAAAGCAATGGCTAATCTGAAAAGTGATGGAACTAATGATACAAGTGCTAAATTGTGGCTGTGCTGCAAAATGAATGCAATGCACATAATGACAGAAGGTATGGGATAGACAGTAAAAATAGCTATTACCTGGAAGAAATGACTGGTGGTAGATTCCCACTGAGCAAATTCCTTCTTTGGAGAATTTTGTTCAGGTGTCAGGAAAATAACTCTTTTCCTGTAACTGCCTGCTCACCCAACAAACATAATAGTTGGGGGTGAAATATTAAGTGTTCTCCCCTTGGGGAGAGGAAGTAGACAAGAACGCTTTGTACTGCCATGTCTAGTCGACATTGTACTAGAGGTCCCAACTTCTTCAGTATGGCAAGAAAAAAAATAAAGGTGTAAGAATAGACAGCAAAAATGAAAATACCATTAGTTGCTAAAGATTATGTGTATAATAAATTTAAGAATCTACACTATACTATTAAATATAAAACAGGGAACTTAGCAAAATTACTCAACAGAAAGCTGATATATAAGAATCAATTGGCTATCTATGAATCAACAACAAACATTTAGAAAATGAAATTTGAAAAAATATTAACATTCACATTACTAAAATCAAATATCCAATAATATCTCAAACTAAAGATGCACAAGACCTATACAGGTCAACATGAAGAACTCCGGAGAGAAAGTGAAGGCCAATAAACGGAGGGTATACCATGTCCATGGATTAGAAGCTTCACTCCTATAAAGTCCCACTCCACCAAAGTTCCAGCAGGCTTTCTGGATAATAATCAACAACCTGCTTCTAAAGTTCAAAAATTTACATGAAAATGTGAACCACCCAGACAACCAAGACAGTTGTGAACAGGAAAAAACTGGATGATTTACAAACCCTCTATCAATTTAGTCTTGTACACAGAAAAATAGGCTAGAGAAAAAGAATGGAATGATTTACAATAAAAATGTCACTGCATTAGAGTAGACAAAGGATGGTCTTTCCAATAAAAGATGCTGGATCAACTGTATCTCTATAAGAGAAATAAACTTGTATCCTACCTCACAGAACACTCAAAAAACTAATTCCAGTCTGAAGATCAAAATGTAAAAGACAAAATAATACAAACCTTTTCCAGAATGGAGGAGTGGGTTACAACCTTGGGATAAGCAGATTTCTTAAATAGGGCAGAAAAAACACTAATCATAAATGAAAAGACTGATAACAGACTAGATTAAAATTAGAATTTTTATTTATCAAAAGACATTGGACTTCATCAAAATAAAAAATTTCTGCCCTTGGAAATAACACTGTTAAAAAAATGAAACACAACTGGGAAAAAATTTTCAGAATATATACATCTGACAAAGGTCTTATATCCTGAATATATAAAAAACTCCTACAACTTTAATAAGATAAAAATGATCCAATTTTTTAAGTGGGCAGAAGACTGAATCAGACACTTCACAAAAAAAAAAATATGAATGGTCAACAAGCACCAGAAAAGATTCTCAGCATCAAAAATAAATAACTGGAGAAATGCAAACCAAAACCAAAACAAGATACTTTACTCATGCACTACAATGACTCAAAAGTGACTTTAAAAAGATGAACAATACCAAGTAATGTTGAAGATGTAAGAGCAACCATCCCTGTCAAGGATTACTGGAAACAGTGTAAAATAGTACAAACGTGTTGGAAAACACCTTGGTGGTTGAGCATTAACTTATAACATAACCCAATTCCGCTCTTAGGAGAGGCTGGTTGATAACAAGCTTTGCGACCGCTCTCTGACTCTGCCAGTTAAATCTGGCCCCAAAGCAAAGTGGCCTGGGGACGGTGTAACTGCCAGGACCTGGGGGGTAGCAGTCACCATGATGACATGGCCAGGGTGCTGGCCAAGGGGGGCCAACGGGCGCAGAGCTGTGGAGACGCACGTGTAACAGGAGGAGGAATTCCTAGGAGCAAAACAGATGGCCCTCCCCCCGAGTACTGCCTGCCCAGGTGTGCACGCATGCGTACACACAAACTCAGACGGAGACAAGACCTAGTGAGCATGACACTGAGGGATGCCATCCCATTAAAGACCCTTGTGTGGTTCTGGGCTGAGGCAGTTTCAGACCTGGAACGCACTGCCAGACAATGCAGTCAGATGTCCAGGAGTTAGGGGCCCACACTAGGGCAAGTACCTACTGTGATGATTGCCCTCATCTGCATCCAAGGAGGCCTAAGACAACGTACGTGGTGACCATCCCCTGGGCAAAGGGTGGCACCCAAATAGTGCCAGGGCTACTGAACACCAAGTCGGAGACCCAAAGCATCACTGCACTCCCTGGGAGGGCAGCAAAGTCCCAACATGCACAGCTTCGACAGCAGCTCTGGTCACCTTCGGCATCAAGAGAAGTGGCAGAAGCCACTGGCCTGGCCACCTGGTCAGAAGCCCAGAAGGAAGAAGACCGGAAGACCGCAGACAGGAGTGGACACCTGTAGCGCCCCTGGGCGGCGAGGTGGCGCGCTGGGCCCTCCATCCTTAGGAGGGCCGGTGGTTCACCGCCACAAAAACAGACATGTATTCCAGGTATGAGTTTGTCTTTCCTGGCCAGAGGCACCGCCTGGGGCAGTAACCAGGTGCCTGAGCCCCGCAGAGACCAGGCATGTGAAGAGAAGAGGCCACTTCCCCAGGCGGCAGGGCAGGACGGGCCCACAGCAAACCACACGTCAGAAACCCCAGAAGCTGCCGGCTGACCGATCACTGCCGCATCCAAGCCGAGTGCAGCCAGGCTGCCGTCTCCAGAACACGGCCCGCATGCTGAGGCAGACACTCCAACTTGAGAGCCGTGGGCCTGGGGGCCTGGGGTGAGAGCGGGGTGAGCCCACTTACTATCACCCCAGGACCCACAGGGCCTTTGTGTTTCCTGTGTCCCAGCTCAGGGCTCTGCAGGGCTGGAGGTTCTGATTCCCAAAGGGGGTGCTTTTGCCAGGGCCATAGCAAGAATCCCCTCAAACCACAAGAGACAACTGCCTTCTTGACGGCTTCTGACCAGGGAATGAGGGGAAGGGGCATCTTGGCAGGGCAGGGGTGCAGTACGGGGCAGGGAGGCAGCTTGCAGGAGGGGGTGTACACAGGCACTTTGTCCCCCACCCAAACACAAGCAGGCCTCAGTGCCTGAGCCCAGGCCCTGGGGAACCCAACAGGGACCCTGAGAGCAGCACAGGCGACAGCCAAGGGGAGGGCACCCCAGACGGAAGGGGAGGAACAAAGACCTCTGCCTGATGACCCCCTGCTCAGGAGGAGAGACCCCCGGAACTCTGGGGAGACAGGGGGTCTGAAATGCCAGACTTCCCTGCAGGAAGGCACAACAACACAGGTTTGACTATATTTTCTTGT